AAATCGCTAAACCACTGCATGTGCATATGTCCCACATAAAGTACTAGGCACATGCAAAGAATGAACAGAATCAGTCCAAGGGATTCTGAGATATGACTCCGGACGGACGCACGGACACACGGAGACCGAATTATAAGTCCCCGTTTTCGGACTTCGTCCGAACAGGGACTAAAAACATGAATTCATCAAGATAGTTGAATGTGTATATATATCATACATGTACTGCTCACTACAGCTGTGATTATTAGCGCCCTCATAAGTTAATTTGTAAATACTTTTGTTTTTACCATATTGAACTTATTTGTCAAAGTGAGTTCAGAGTTCCCCCCTGGTCTTATAATCATGGCAGTTTTACCATGATTAGCTACTGAAATACCACACTTGAACTTTCAACAAACATTACAGACTATTGATATTGATAATTATTTGAGTTGTTACAAAAAAAACACATGCAAATGATTGTATTATTAGGCAAATTAGTGCCATGCTTCAGGAGAACACCAAAAGTTGGAAACCCAAATCTCATAATTTCTTGCCGAATACATTTGCACTTGCTTTTCAAATCCTGGTATGATGTATACGTTCAAAAATTCAGACTCACCTCTAAACAGATGTGGCACAGAGCACCGCCACATTCCATGTGCGTAAGAAGTTCATGATCAGGAAGTTCTTCTAAGCAGATAGCGCAGGATCTCCAATCAGATGAAATTCCACCTGAAGCCACAGTGCTGGTAGTAGCTGTATTGTTTTGTGTGAGAGTGCCATCACTCCATGGTTTCATGTCAGCATTATTTGGTACCCAACTTGTGTTAAAATCCTCAGTTCTCACATTTATCTCATTGTTTTTATTATCTGTACATGGTGAATCAATTGGTGCGGACGTGTCGCTAGTTTGACTAGTTGAGGCGATAGCACTAATATCAGTGGTCATGTCAGCATCTCCGCTTGCTCCAATACACTCACTTGAAGCTGGTCCATCAGTACATGTATGTGAATAAAGATTGGAGTCAAAATATCCAATATTGCTGAATATATCACTGCCCTGAGCTGTATCACTCTCTGAAGATTGCATCACTACATCTCCAGCTTCACAATGTGGGTCTTCTAGCTTGTCTGATCTACTGCTGATGTCATCACCTTCAACAATGACATCATCAACAGTTGTGCACACATCACCGGCTTCAGTTATGACATCATCATCATTCTTCATGTTCCAATTACAGCCAGGATTACCAGTTTCAACCATGGCAAAGTCACTGAATGTACTGAATAGATTATTTGGGTGTATTTGCTGGCTTTCTAGTTCTGATTCTGGCTTGGGTGACATTTCAAAGGCATATATCATCCGATAATCATCATTTACATACCGCAGGTGTGTTCCATCCTCCTAGATTTACAAAATTATAATAATTATTTTAGATGTATATAAATATTTATGACACAATGTGAGAAAGAAAGGTGATACAGCCAAATATTGTTCCTGTGTTCTATCCCAGAATACAGTGTGGTGGTACCGCCACAGTGCTTTGTTTTACCACCACACTGGTGTGACTCTGCCACAGTCATTACATGTATTCAGACTACCACAGCGCCATTTCCACTGTACCATTCTTGACTTTTCAAATCAAACTGACAAGTTGCTGAAAACCTAAAACTTGTGTGTAGTTGTAATGCTCTTGATGTAATAACAGTTTTGTAATCAATAATTTTGTCCATTGAAAAGGTTAAATATCAAAATTTTTGTTTGAAATAATTATGCAAATAATATGCAAATTAGCATGTAAATTTATACCGCCAAAGTGGTTTAAATTTGTGGGAAGATCACTGCGACAACAAGCATTGTGGAAATGTATCCAATAGCGATAAGAGGTATTTACTTACCAATATTCTAGCCACGTGGTTGTCGAACACCTCAGCAAGGATAATGTCATTTGGTGGTGGTACATTTCCACCAAATACCATGTTAACTAGGGAAGACCTGAGATGTCTCACGGTCTCCATTTTCAAAAGGTTGAAAAGATATCTGGTTGGATAGTGAAGGCGATTTAGAGGAACCCATGTCACAGCTGTAAGATATCAAATCACATCTCAATTGAAATTTGTTAAGAAAACTGACAGTGTACCAGTTACTAGCATGACTTGTAGGAGTGAGTGGTGCGTCCTGACTGAACAACATCAGACCTCACTAACACCTGACAGAATTGGCAAAGTTCACGCCTTCTTGCAATGAGTTTAATGAATATTCATTTTGGTGGTCATGGTAACACTGTCCATCAAAGTAATGTTTGCATTGTCAGCTAAAATCACATAAATAAACTCTGGCGTGAATGATTACTCATTGATGGCTATCACTATCTGACGTTCCTGCAATTTGATTGGTACCATCAAAAAATCATGGGCGGAAGTGAAATACTACATTGTTCTGTCAGGCATGTGTTGGGTTTGGAGCACCTCGGAAGGTGCAACTCATGTGACCTTGTCAGGCTAACCAGTTACAAGTTACTGTCATTATCACACTACTTGTTTATTATGCATGTTTTAATGAGTATGTTAATCATTACATTTTTTGTTGGTTGAATAATTATGCGAATTGTTACTGCCAGTGGTTTATATTTCTGGGAGAAAACTGATGTATAAAACATATAATTGCTTTATCACCATAGAACACATAGAATTTAGATAAGGTGTTACGAATTTTGTAGTGAAACTAAGTAAACCTTACCGATTTGTCTTTCCATGCCATGAGGTAACGGAAGTGATAGATACATGAAGGGTTCAAAAGTCACGGAAACATGATCACAAGAAGAACATATGACCTAAGTAAATACAAAAGAATCAGTGAAGTAATCTTAGTTTCCAAACAGCAGTGTGAGGGCGCTTTAACGCAGAGTTTAATTCAGTGTGGCACCCAAGTTTCAAACCCGCAATACACTTATCTAGTAACTGATATAGCATGGTTAGTTTTGAAGTTGTCTATATCCAGGCTTCGTGTCTCAGTTTATTTACCTTGCATTTCATAATAATATGAGATTATAATGAGTAAACAGCAAAGTGTATGCATGAACACAGTATCAAATCACCTATAGCTATGACCGTTGCTGCCCCCTTTAAGCATAAGGAGATGCTGTTTTCAGTGGTGGGTTATAATTAATAAAGTTAATATTTAATGCAAACTTACCGTACTCTTGAACTGACCCTGAAAAGTATCAATGATGACTGAGCGGTTTCTTTGTAAATACTTATGCCATTCCTTTTCAGCTTCGAAGAATTCAATCTCTTCTCTACTTGCCCTCTGCTCATTCACACCCACACGGTCAGTAGTTAACGCACTGCTACAAGGATTTTTAGAAAGAGCTGCCTTGTCAACTAAAATGGTCTGGTTATTGGCAAACGGGATGTGTTTGCAAACAGTCGCATCTTTCACTAGAGCTTTGAAGTCTTGCGAACAACCTGCGATGCTTTCAACAACAATGTCCAAAGTTTCTGTCTTCTTGTAATCCAGGTTACGTTCTATGGTAAATGGTTCCAGGGCAAATTTTCCCAGTTTCTCGTCACTGTTGAATGTATTATTGCAACTCTCGTTATTGGCACTGATAGGAAATTTTGACGCAGTGTTTGCATACAAATTAGTATCTTTCCTGCGACACATCACTATGTCCTTCATCTTCTGAACTTCTTCCATGTCCTGCGACACGTTAAATACATCGTAGGGTCCTTCCCTGATAACATCCCGGCCTTGGAGGAGAAGTGATTTGAGAATAGTCCCGCCATCATCATCATCCATTTTCATTCTTTTTATTGATTCTAAATCCCTTTCCTCATCCATATCTTGCAGTGTAATTTTCCCAGTCACCTCCTCCCCACCCAAATTCCCAAACCTATTTTTTTTATCCACCGGTAGATTTGTCTTTTTAAATCTTGGGGACCTGGGGCTTGTGTCATTCATATTTTCAACCATATTCTTCAATGGAGACTTCTGTTTTGAAGTGGGAGACTTGTCATTTTTGGGGAATTTATCACTGTCCACAGCAATCATAGGAGTTGGGCTGTCTTCCCTTAAAACATTAGTGTTGAGTGTTTTAACATCTTTCATGTAAAACTCCTCAATACTTGGCAGTTTTGTGATATTTATAACATTATCTTGGGTTGAAGAGTCCTCTAAAATTGATGTATCCATACTCTCTTCTTGTTCAGAGACACTCATCTCAGATCTACTCTCTTCGCTTTCCTCCTCAACCTCATTCTTCTCTAAAACATCCGATGTACTCTCTTCAGTCTCTTTTTCTCCCGCATCGGTAGACACCTCCGAGACGTCTTCCTCATTATGTAATTCCTTGGCATGGTTAAGTTCTTCATGGAGACTATCAAGAAGTAAGGCTAGGAACTCTTGGCCATCATGCTACAAACGAAATAAAAGATGATACATTATCAATGAGCTACAGAATATTGACTATAAAACAATGTAAATATCTAGGTGGGTTCATGAAATGATGGCATATCATAACATTTGTTTGTTTGAATAGTTTAATTTAGAGCCAAGTTGGAATATAGCGCTTGACACGAGGTTCTCTCTTACACAATCATGGGCTGTGTCTTATCGGTTTATTGCAGCATACTAGGCTCAAGCTAGTTAACACAGTTATTTATGCTGGCTTAAGCAGACTTGAGCTGTTCCGATAAAATGCTGTCGTGTTAACAACATACATGTTAAATGGGAATATCATTTCCCAGACAAAATACAAAACAAACTTTTAAGCTGAAAATTCAGTATTAAAAAAAATCGCACTCAACACAGATGAAAGAATATAACTTGCAGTTGCAGAAACCTCAAGTCTAACTACAGACCTTATTATATCTGGGATTTAATTTATGCGGGTCACTTCTACTCTAGGAAATAAATGATAAATGCTTCATGTTCACCAGCCAACATCAAAATTACGAATTACCCTTACCTGTCTGTAATCTTTAAACTGTGTGTGCACAAAGCCAAGTGTTTCTTTAAACTCAGATGGATGTAACACTGAGTATTCTCCGCTCCAGAACTTACAAACCAAAGCGCTAAATTTCTCAATCAAAGAATCTTTGGGAATCTTTTCTTCTTCAAGTAAGAAACAACAGAGACTTGGGCAACTCAGCAAACACTGTAGACCTGAATTCATGAAGCAAGTGTTGCCAAGGTTTTTCAAACCACAAACTCCAACTTCAGCATTTCCATCTACGGAACAAAGACATAAAAGACTTAAAATCGTGCCTATAACCATAGGCATTTTAGAATGCATTGTCAGCAGGGTGAGCATGACCTCTGAAAACTTTACATCAGAAGACACAAATGTAACACACAAAGAAAACTGGGTCCCAATAGGCTTTCAGTGGTAAACTTTTTACCAATTTTATCTGAGGTATCGGTAGGTAAAAGTAGCTGTTAGGTTACCGTTATTCTAACAGTAAGCTTGCATAATATTTTTTGGGGCATACCTAGGATGTCCAGGCATTATTTATTGGCAAAATTGCGTACTTTCTACAAAGCACAGACGCTGACATGGAAATGATGAAATGCATTACACCACAGTGTGGCGTCACACCTAGGGGGGATAATGTGACTGGATAGATGATAACACAATTTATTACATTAAAGGCCCATTTCAGTCACCCCTGGCGATTGTGAATTGCTTGAACACTGTATGTTTACATAACCCCCTGTCTTGTATTCACAGCTGATAACACTAATCCTATGAAGCACCAATGTGTATAGCGCTCCAGTCAGGAACATATTGTAAAACATGTTGAAGAAGTGACATGCAATTTTAGCAAATTGTGGTAAAATGACGTTGATTTCTTGTTTTCACAATACATTGTACTTGTCTGTCGCGTGCCAAAACAAATGCGCAGTTATCATCTCCATAAAAACAAAGAAAAACTATCAAGTGTAATCAGGAAGGGCTCCGGATTACTGTATACAAATCTCCAAGCCTTGGTAAACACTATTGTCTTTTCTGTATAAAACACAATCAATTTTCTGGTTGGTTTTATTATTGAATGAGACATCTTGATGTTCACATCATGCTTCGTTATATAACATATCAAACATTCTTTGCTGTGGTTACCTGATCCAAATTCTGAGAAAGACGACGAAAGAGCTGCAAATTTTGCATGCATGAATGCTGCTGTCACTGATGAGCTGTCAACCGCTGGAAATGAATCGTTTAAAGTTGATCGACTAAACCGAAAAAGACCACGATCCTATGCAGGGTTCTCCCCAGCAGACAGAGAGTGCTGGATGATATGAATATTCATGAGCTCATTAATATGCATGAACTCATTAATATTCAAAATGGCCACAGGGAATATTTCTTTCAACAGTCAAAACACTAGTGAGAAGACAGGTCAATGTAATGTAATGATATTTATTATACAGTATGGAAGATTACAACACAACACAGGATAAATAATACACAAACAAATCATCTTTGAAGACATGATGCATAACAAATTGAAAGCACAAAATAATTACTACAGTTACAATATGAAATATTTTTTTAAAATTAATGTTGTTTTATGAAGTCAGCCAAAATAAAATAATGTTTCAAAAAAGTACATCTATAACTTATTTTCTGTATTTTTGTTTTGAGAAAAATCAATAGCTACTGGAAATTTATTGTTTGTATTTTTTGTTTTAAAAAAATGCTTCAGCCAAACGAAAATATTAAATGGTGAAAATATTTTGTTATAAAGGCGGGCAAATTGGTTTGTTAAAATCCACATGCTTACTTCAACGATATACGTCTATTTTTCATCTCTGCCCATCTCTTCACGGCACTTGAGTAGTTGTATGTGTCCACAGATGGACCGTCAACAGCAATTCTAATTAAACTGTTTTTACCAATATTAATTGGGAAAAAGTTCTCTCAGAGTCGGTGGTATGGCATGGCAGAACGTGGTATATCTTGACAAGTTGGACGATCTTCGAAAAATAGAATTGCAACGACGGTGTAGTGCATAGGACATCGATGACGACGCCAGGTTTCAGATCTGGTTGGTGTAAAATGGTGTCTTTTAAATAATTTCTGAAGTTGCCCAATTCATTCACGGCATCTGCTGTAATGTCAGCCTGCTCCACGCGTTGGAGAAAATGACGAGACAGTTCTCTCACATCGGCGTTGCCATATGTAGTCGAGCTATCTTGGCGTAAACTATCGGGGTTGAATATACTAAAATGTCCGAGGATACCGCCATCTTTGTCTGGGAATCGTTGTTCGATGTTTGCAATCAATGTATCAATGTACTTCCCGTGGACGCCAGGACGACATAAGATTTTGGAGTTCAACTGCTTTTGCATCACTGCGTTCCTCTCCTTCACGGTCGAGACTCATCAGCATGGAAGCAAAAATATTCTTCAATCTGGTTACTGACAGATCGACACTGAGCCAGCGTGTAGATGATAGTTGAAGTAGTTTTAGTTCTTGCTCTCGTAGCGTAGTCTGGATAGCACTGAGCCCCGCTGAACGAACAGC